ATGGGGAGACCGAGGGTGGGGGATTTGCTATGTGGGATAGTAGCGGCAGTCGTGCGATTGGGAGTGGGACAGGATCATATCATGAAGGAGGAAGGCTGACGTAGGAGAGGATTCAGATGTTGAAGAGATGTTGTCTGATAGGTGTTTGGTGGCTGCGGAAGCGGTGATGTTCGATGTTGATGTTGACGTTGGGGGGACGAAGCAGAAGCAGAAGCAGATGGCAGATTGCTGGAGGTTGACTAAGATTTGCTTGCTGACTGGGAAGGAGAAAGCCGCCAATGAACGTCTGCACCGCAGAGGGAAGCTGCATGCAGTAACTAACTAGTTAAGCTAAACTATTAGTTAACTAAAGACATCTCTCTGATCTATTTCGATTCTACGTGGAATATGCTAAATATGCTGCGCCATGTTCGACGTTTAAGTTATCCTAACCCTCGATTCTATGCGGAGCATAAGATGCTTGATATAAACTAATAATGTGTTTGCCTTGTTTATCATCTTATCTATCTATGCATGTGTCTCCTGCTGACTGCTCTTCTAATAACTATAGTTATCATGTGGCCCCCTCGAAGTCCAACCTCCAGGATGCCCAGTTCTCGATTCACTCAACTTAACTGGCTGAGACGAGGAGATCCCAACCTTCTCCAGCCTTGGATACAGCTTCTCATTGGTTCCGTCCACCATCCACACCAGCTGCTATTCGTCCAATATTCCAACATCTCATGTTGCTCTCTCCGATAACTATAGTTAACTCCTCCCTAGCTATTAACTCTCCACAACCGGAGGAGCTTTTCGGCCTCTTACATCACCTGAGCCCACAAGCATTTGTAAATTTGTATGGAACCACCCGACTAAAGATATCATATCTAAATTATTCTTCAATTCTTCTCTTCTTTCCCTTCAGGTCACGCATTCGATGCTACGGCAACATGCATAGATGTTAAACAGGTCTGGCAAAGCCACCAGCCGGAATAACGAACTACCTCCGAGTTAGACTCTGCTCTCTCGAGCTGTCATATGTTTTATTAACAGCATCCAATATAACTATCTTTTTAATAAGGAGCAGCAATATACAGCTATGAGTGAAACCCTTGTTCTCGCAGGCCTTCGAAGACACCAAGCCCTCACCCTCTTCCCTCCACCTCTCTTTCGTCAATGAAGCTATTTAGCTTTCCTCTAACTATCCCCCCAATCATCTGCCGTGGGGCCAAATCCAGGCACAGAATAAGTTACTGCTCATCAGAGGTCACAAAACTCCCTTTCCCACGGAAATAACTAAACCACCCCCCTGTATCAGCTTTCATCTTCTTTGCGTTGCGTGCTCGTATGTACGGTAGTAGCCCATCCATAATTCCCATTGAGGTTCGAATATTTAGCTAAACCACCACAAGATGAAACAGCTGACAGCGGTTCCAAACCGGGTGTACGACATGACATATTACGCTACGAATCATCACCACGCACAAATAGCATTCCCTCATACAGCTTGTGCTGAACTTGCTTATATAAGAACTCTAATAACTTTAACTAGTTAACCAGTCAGTTATACATTCCACGGTCAAGAATTGATTGGGTGCTTAATATTGAATCCATTACAGATCTAGATACAAGAACCAATTGGCAGAGTCAAGAAGCACGGACATCGAGATAGAACGGTGCCAACGACGACGAAATAATATCCCCGCCCCGGGGGATCCATGGATAGATACATTTACTGCATCACCCCATCGGCCCATCACGACCTCACTAAACTTGCTTATGCTCTGACAGTCTCCTATTAATTATTGTAGATATTTAACTAAACTCTACGATTCGCTATCATTTAACTAGTTAACTAGTTACCCGGTTATATAAAGTTCTCCGGCTCAGCCCTATAGTTTGCGCTACGTTAACTACACTTTCCAGCTTCTTATACCTGTGGTTCAACATTCCGCTGTAGAGATAGCCATGAAGATCATCGGGCCGGTTTTCGGCTTACTGGCCAGGGGAAGTAGGGGATGGAACATCAGGAAGGAAATGTGGTCTTTGTGTATAGTTAGTTATACTGTTTTCCCATATTTATATTTTCACGCGACTGGCACAACTCTCCTTGCAGCTGGGATATGCCCATGTGTAGATATAACATATTCACGGAACCAAGATAAGATATAACAACCGCACTGACGACCAGAGTTATAATTATTTTATATTTTTAAATTGTAAAACAAGAAAGTCAGGCCATATCCATGTCAGTTCTCCAGGATTCCAATACCCGCATAACCCAATATCAGCTTTTATGGCAGTGTTAGCGGAAACGAAACTCAAGGACAAGTAAAACGTCATTCTGCCGCAAGGGATTTTATGTCGTAACTAAGAACTAGCTACCAAACCGTCTATAAACGGGCGTTTATGATATCGACAACTGCGACTTGAGTTAGTAATTTATCCGTTTGCAGGATGGGGTATTCCTATCATGACAATATTCTGTGAAAACATACAAGCAGGTTTTAAACTAGCTCCGCCCACCAAAAACCCGTCAACATCAGGCTGCGCGGCGAGATCCCGACAGTTGTTCTCCGTAACGCTTCCGCCGTAGATAACACGGATGTTTTCGGCAGCTTCAGGGGAGATTTTCTCATTCAGCCATTTCCGGATGGAGGCATGCACTTCTTGTGCTTGCTCTGTTGTGGCGACCTTGCCCGTTCCGATGGCCCTGGGGAGGTGGAGTGGTTGTTAGGATTGTAGGTTCGTTCTTTGAAAGACAATGAAACGTAGAAGCAGTATTACCAGATGGGCTCATAGGCGATGACGACCTTATTCCATTCTGCAGGAGAGACTTCCTCGGCAACGGCATCCAATTGCCTTGTTACAACATCGATAGTCTTTCCAGCTTCGCGTTCCTATATATGGAGACCGTGTCGTCAGCTCTCGCTTCAACCGAAACACGTTCCCCTGAGAATCTTTTGTTTTGCCTTCGTTTTCGATATTTCAACTCGCATAAAAGGGTTTAATATCGAAATGGTGGGTAGTTTACCTCAAGAGACTCGCCAATGCAAAGAATTACATTGAGACCACCGTTAATGGCAGCCTTTGTTTTCCGTGCTACAAACTAAATATTCCGGTATGACATATTAGTTAAGGTTGAGGAAGATATCACGAATCTCAATACAGCAGTTGGGGAATTGGAAAATAACGGGACTAACTAAAATGGGACCGATTCGGGCATAAAATGATAATATAGTGTTTAAGGGAAAACAAAATCTTGCACCCACAACACATCACTATAAGAAATCCAACATACCTCATCATCTTCTCTGAGTAAAACTCTTCGTTCGCTATGTCCAGCCAACGTCCAAGTGATTTTTTCATCCCTGAGCTGTTCCACGCTCAACTCCCCAGTAAAGGCTCCATTAGGCTTATCAAACACATTCTGTGCAGAAACGGCGACTTGGCCGTTCGCAAGTTGTCGTGCAAGCACCAGGTAGATTGCAGGCGGGGCGATGACAATTTCAGTGGAAGGATCAAGCTTGGCAGAGTTGAGGTTGGTGATGATATGGGTGATAGATTTAGCGGTGCCATTCCTGGGTGGAATGGAATTGAGTAGTGGAAGTGATTTATCAGTATTCCGGTTGTTATAGGAAGATTTTGGGTGTGGGTAGAGACGAATTTGACGTTTTGATTCAGGAACAGAACACACATACATCTTGAAGTTGCCGCCAACAAAGAATTTACGAGGCATGGTGGCTGGAGAATTTTATTATCCTTTATTTGACGGGAATAAATGATAAGAATTTCTAGGATATATAGTAATTAAATGGTTCGTGAAGGTTTAGGAGACGAACTGCGGAAATGGCGAGTGAGTTAATTATGTTTGTAGGTGCAGTAATGAATTGAAGAATGAGAGCAGCGGAGGACGAGGGTGAGGGGTGAAATAGTATCCGTAAACGTACCTGGATCAAGAAAACAAATAACGGAGCAATGTGAGGATTGTTAATTGAAAGAGGGACGAAGGAAGTAGAAAAGATGATAAAATGAAGATGCGGGCGGCAGAAACCGGCAGGCGGGGCAGCACATAGTTAACTAATCAGGGGCTTGGCACTTGCCCCGCCAAACATCCCGACTCCCCGTCCTGTATGCACACGGCAGAAAAAGAGGAGAATGGATTAGTTTACAGAATATATTATTGTGGTCATATCGTGATAGGCAGAAACAGCATTAAATTCTAGGTAGGGATTGGTCAAGCATACAATCAAATCAATTTAGACATATAGATGGTGATAACTAACTTATCAATTCACATAACATGTAGATACAACACAGGGTGATATGACAAGCAATAAAAAATAAATAAATAATAATAATAATAATAATAAAAGGAATTAAAGAGCATGTTAAAAAGTCAGTATTACGTTAATGTCAACAAGAAAAGCGGTTAACTATACCAACAAAGGGGGGGGGGGGGGGGGACAAATAGCATATTAAAACCAAAGCTAGGGATAATAATCATATAGTAACTAAATGAAAGTTGTCATGAGATCATATACCCATACAGAATCGACATGTAAGATGAACCAGCCAAAAAGAAATGGAAAATGGAAATAGGTCACTAAGGATTTTGGCCGAAATATCTTCCAACGGAAGTGTGGGAGAGAAAGGCAAGACATGGGTAGCAAGCATGTAGCAAGCATAGAATAAAAAAAGAGAACAAATTTCATAATGAGAAAGGTACACTGCAAAAGGGTGTAAATGGAAAGGAAATATTTTTGTCTGCAATTAGGAGATCAAAACATGGGTGGAAATAAGATGGGATCTGAGCGTGCGCATATCAATTAAATTCCCGTCCCCTTAAAATAACCGGAATAAACACTGGGGGTATAACAAAAACAATAACCAACACACTGTGGGGCCTTTTTCACCTTTCTTTCTTACAACAGCTAAACCAAATAGGAAACAAATAACAACACTAACACAGGGGGAAAATCGTCTCGTCCGATCCTAATCTCAAACTCAATCCCAATCCAAATCCAAGATTTCCAATAAAACAAGCCGTAGGTAGATTCGTAACTTTTTTTGTTCCAAATAAAAAAGCACCAGAACCGTCTGGTCGCCGAATCCCATACTACCCTCATATCAGAAATACCGAACCGACAGTGTGATGCAAAGCAAAATTAACATGGCGTTTGGCTAACTTCAGCGACCATAATAATCGTTCCGACGAGGTGGCTCCATTTGGGAATGACGACGATGATCCATCCGGCCACGATCCCGCTCACGGTCCGACTGTCCATGGCCCATTTGATAGCGGTCCATCTTCTCACGGCCAAATGGGTCGGGATCGTTAAAGGCATCATCCTCACCATACTGATCCTGCCTTCCTCCCGCGCCACCGGCGGTAGAGCTCATCCGATTGAGTTCCACCATCCTAGCATATTGTTCGGAACGATCCTCTCGCGGAAGTTGAGCGGGATATTGGGTGTTACCTTCTGTGCTTTTGCGCTGAGGCGGATGTGGTGCGTGCGGTGGATGCACTTCAGCACTACCCTGTTCCCAGCGTCGATGGGCGTCCCGGTGGTTCCGATTGTCCCACTGTTCCTCCCGGCGTTTGTTGAGCATGTAGTTGTTCAGAGAGTGTTCGCGGTCCCATTGGTTACGCTCCCACTCCCTATCGGTGCGAATGTCATCTTGGATATGGGTGTTGGAGTACCTTTTTGAGGGTGTCAGGGCCTGCTGTCCACGATTGGCTGAGGGTAGGTCACGATTTCTGTCCCGTCGGTTCTCATCATGTGTGAACCGCAGTCTTGGCTCACCAGGATAAGACACGGAGGCCGAGCGAGAAAGCCGATTAGTCGGTCGTCGTTTATGGGTGCTGTTTTCTGGGTAGATATCCACAGACACGTGAGTGTACCGTGGATCAGGGCGGCGATGGTCTTTGTATATTGGGTATTTGCTGGACGGGCGTTGGTGATATCGATAGACGGGCTCAAGCATCCCGCGGGTTTTTGAGCCACGGCGTTGGATTCTTTCGGCACCCTCGCCTTGAATGGCATGTTGGTCATTTTCATCATAAAATAAGGAGTCCTCCGTAGTCGCTGAACTGGCATCTTCAAATTCATCAAAAATCACAGACTCGTTATCATCCACGCTGCTGCCCCCGGGACCTCCAAACGACTCTTTGGATGGCACTTTTTCCATATTTATGATTTTCGCTGAGGTTGGTTTATAGGATTGGTGTTCTTCGATATGGCCTTGAGTATGTCCTTGGGTAAAGTTGGGCAGACGTTGTTGTTCTTGGACTTGTGGTTGTGACTGCGGTTGCTGTTGATGTTGGTGTTGGTGTTGATGCTGATTTTGGTGTTGATGGTGATGTTGATATTGGGGATGAGGATAAGATTGAGGATGAGACGGTACCGGTGGGTGTGGTGCTGGTGGTGGTGGTGGAGGCAACCCGTGTGCATCCTGCTTTGGGACGTTAATTATTTGGACACCATTCGGCTGCGTATGCTGACCCAGATGAATTTGGTGAACCTGAAGTGGAATTCGCGGTTGTGCTTCTTGGTGGGGTGGAAAGCCGCTATGTTGTTCTCCAGGATATGTACCAACCATGCCCATGTTAGGATGGACGATGATAGGATGAGCATTCTGGCGTTGGCCAGGAGGATCCATTCCGCCATGATGCTGAGGGTTTTCTTGTCCAAATCTGGGCTCCGGCAATCGGTGAGCATGTATCTCTGACGGATAGCTCTGCGCTTTACTTTTTTCTTTTAGGTCAAAATGGGGATCTAGGTTAAAGATCTCAGGGGTGTCACGGTTCGCGACACGGTAGTTGCCGGTAGGCAGCGTGATACCGGGTCGAACTTTTCTCATAAGAATAACATCAAGAGATGTAGTGATGTATTCTGTGACCAACCCACGACGACCAACATTTTTTGTATTCGCAAAAATGAAAACAAAAGTCCATTCAAATCGAATATCGCCATCTTTCAATTTTCGTTCTTCAATCAGTCGGTCGATTTGCGACCGCTTTCCCTTCCCTAACGCATTATACTGCTCTGCCACATTTCTCGAACTTTTCTTTTTTTGTTTTGACTTTTCTTTGATTAGTTCCTCTTGGGAGAGGTGGATTTGGGTTCGAGTAACTTGAGACCACGTTTGTGCCGAGTCTGAAGAGTCTGATTCTGTGGGGAATAGAGTCCAGCCTTCGTACCAAGTGGAAACATCGTCAGGGAAATCTCGGAACTCTTTGCCGTTAAAATCATGGTTGAACGATTCGTGCACTTTGCCCATGCTATTCGTGTCCAAATGGAGCTTTGTCATTTGGTTAACCATGGCATTGATTTGCTGATTGGGATTCATGGGGAAACCCGAGAACTGATTGGGGTCAATTGCTCGTAACGGATGAGAAGCGTTTGCTGGTCCAGCATGACCAGGCACCATTTGGCCATGGGGAGAGTATTGGGGCGGTAAATGCTGAGGTGGAACAGGGGGCCGCTGGTTGCCAATACCAGCGTTGTTGGCATTCATGGCTGCGTTAAGAGATTGGAAGTTTCTCTAAACTATTTTGACAAGCTCAGATATTAGTTGCCAAGTTTAAGTGAAAGTGGCAATGCTTAGAGAGCCAACAAAGCATTGGAGATACAAATATGAACTCAGGAGAAGAAGAACCAAAGAATCAAATTATTTTGATCTAAAGAAAAAAGAATTGACGGAAAGTCATCACACCTTATACGTGAATGGTTGGACAGAAAGAAGGTACAGGGCAGGTCTGGTGGTTTTAATATCAAGAGGATATCTCAACTTGATGTGCCGGCGAAAACAAGGTGAGCTGCCTGATCGACCTTGTTATGAATTAAATAGCATATGATGAAGTTGAAGGTGACAGATCCCAGCAAATTTTCCTTTTAAAAATAGAGAGTATCAAAGTGAGGCAATGTTAGACAAGGGTAGATTTCGATTTTCAAACTGCATTTGTAAAATCAGGAGGACTCCCTCGAATCTTGAAGGGAAACGATTTCAAATCGTAAGAGTCATAAATAACACAGCCAAGTGTCAATACCTTTATCATGATGGTTGAAGTGGTTTGCACCCCAGTGAATTAGCGATGGCTGCCTTGCGAGATACATAAGCGTCTTATGCAAGCTCGCACTCCGCCCGTCCACTTATTGGATGCGCCAAAGACAAAAGCCTTGGAAACCAGAGAGAAACTTTATGGCTGATAGGCTGTGATGCTTCCATTCTTGAATGGGTGGTTGCACCTTGAAGGCTGTTGCATGAGAACGCCCTGCTGCAGCGGCTCAGACGAATCATTGAACGCGCCATTAATGGCTTAGAAAAAGCAAGTTGACAAGGACTATCCCTCCGCTGCGGTCAGGCATCCAGCTGATTTCCCCCAGGAACGTGCATGATTTGTGAAAAGGCGGATGATATATTGGATTCGGACAGTAGTCGAAGGGATCTGTCTGGACTAATGCACATAGATACTTTAACCTCCGGTTTTGAGGGGACATATCCGGCGACACTACGCTGCCACTACCTAAGGTTCACTTTTAAATCGAGCGATGAGGGGCAGTCGACCGTCCGTTCATCCTGTTATTGTTGAACATACCGAAACAAGGCCAGCATTTTGGGATGGCGGGTGAATTGAGCATATCAAACAGGAGTACGAGAGAGCCCAGCAAATTCTCAATCTCTGCCCATGTGGTCGTGTTCCTCCCCCTTTCCTGACGTCGTCGGAAGCAACCCCGCAGTGTGACGGGAGCAAGCCACATTTGAGAGGATTTGTGACTTGCAAGTGGCGGTGCTCGGGTTTGATTTTACGAATTCTTCCCCGGGAACTGGTGGAGAAATGCCATTGACAGACATCATTGTAGTCCAAATCAAAGCACCGGTGAACGCCAACCGTCATCCACAGAGGTTAATTGTCCAGAATGCAACAATGATAATTGAGAGCTGATAATTAATTCCAGCCTGAAGGTTGAAGTTGCCAAGCGGTTGACTAAGAGCCGCATGACTAGCCGTATCCAGACAAGCCTTGATTAGTTTCCTGGAGCCAACCCTGGAAGGTTTGGGTCGGCCCCGCTCAGACCAGCCCAATCAGGAGCGGTGGATAACCCAGGAATTGGCTGCGGACTCAGCGTGGAGTCCTAATCCTGGCAAGGGGATGAAGGCATCTTTCGAGGCTCCAAGAGGCTCCAAGGCTCCTTTTAGTTTTCCCGGGTTCATATCTCGTTGGCGGATGCAACAATATGCAGGCAATGAGGGACAGCAATGACTTCATATGTAGGCTGTGGACGGTAGTTAGTTACGGAGAAAGCTATGTTGTATCGCCATCCTCATATATGTGGTAATGAGTTCTATTCTGAATTCCTATGTATAATAGAAACAAAAAGAATTTCCAATTAAGCCAACTGCTCTATTATTGCTGTCAAATAAAGCAAGATGCTGACTCAAAAACCTAGCATAATCCGAAACAAATGGGTGCAAGATCTTACCTTGACACCTAACCATGCTTGTATTATTCATTCCCCTCCACCCACGAGTGAACCAATATTTGGTAAGGTAATGGATGCTAATCTGTTGCATGTTAAGAGAAGAAGAATCTTACACGCCATGGGATGTACCAAGATGTGGAAGACCGCCTTTGGAATCGAAAGCCTGATCAGTTGCTGATAAATCCCGTAATTTGAGAACTGTGTTAGCAGTTGAATAGTAACTAGTTAGTGATAACGAAATAATATGTTCCTTGGTAAACTTCAAGTTTTCATTATTTCTTTGTAATTTGGTAGGATAAGGGGACTTGGAATCAATCACGAGATTATCTTCTCGATCTATTCCCTGGATTCCCACATAGTGCTCTTGATTATAAGAAGGATCAGATGACATCCCATGTAACCTTCAATGGGCAGGATAGCGAATGGATAAAAAGAGGTCCCTTAGAGGGAAGGCTGCCCGCTAAGGATGCCAATATCTTCCCTGTCAGTTGAATGAGATACGGGCTTGACTCGTCTTGTTCCATCAAACCTACTAGGGGGAAATACAATTTCCCGACTTTCCCGTTAAAATATCCTTATTCTGGTTTCCCGGTGAGCAATAGAGTTTAAGAGTACAATTTTGTCAAAAGTGAATTGAAGATCAGTTTGAAAGAGATGCATCCGAGCAATGGGAGGTTGGCGTACCTGTCTTGGGGGACTAGCCTCCAGTGACCATGTGCACTGGGTCTTACAAAATATCTAGAAGCAAAGGTTGCAGTGAACAAGAGGGAATAATAATAATAATATGCCTCACAGGTGAAAATCTTGATGATAATCCTGACACGAGCAACGCCGAAACTTTTTAAGGCCGGTCTTTTTTGATAACTGGGGAACCACCCCACGCATCTCTTCTTTGGCTGATGATTTGAGCGATGGGATTCTGCCAAACCCGGACATTTTGTAAGGCTTAAAAGTGCAGACAGGAATGATTCTGTGTCAAGTAAAGGGCCTGGTTGGCTGCAGCATGATGATGTCTGATGATGCGGTATGCTTCGAGTCCTTTTCTAGAATATTTATAGTTGGTTGATGGCCAGTGCACCACAGTATTGGCTTGCAAGGTTCACTGTTTCGTTCATTGAGACTCCTGTTACATGAAGTCTGAAAACTGCACAAGAGAGGAAAAAAAAAAAAAAAAAAAAGAATCGACGATGAAATGCAGCCTTGCGTGTTGCAGATGTCGCTATAACGCCATCCTTGCCTGCCGTCGTATCTATTTGGCAGCGATTGGTTAGTAGCTTCAATCGAGAAACGAAAGAGAAAGAAACAAGGAGAGACAAGGAACCATGATCACACCTGTTGCAATCAGTTGGAATCTCATGTCAAAGAATTCTGCATCTTTCTTCTCCACAAACGCACTTTCACTCACCAGTCCCAAGCTCCAGCCTGATAATGATATGTCGACTAAACCCCCACGATGTAAAACCAAGCATATGAGCAAGTTAGCAAGTCAGATCTCTTGAGAACCAGTCATATTCAACTTCTGTCAAGAAGTATTTGATTTTGCCTTAGTGGTTGCCGTTTGCCTCATATCGACGGGGGGCTTGTAGTTGGAATGTGATTCGGATCAATCGAAACGGTCGATCATCAGATGGGATGATGAGAATCACTTTTAGCAAAGAAATAACAGTTGTGTCTTGCATACTGCATTGCGTTACATATCCGCAACATCAACTGAAGAAACTACAATAATATTCAAGCAAAGCTCGACATCCTGATGCTCTTCAAATGCAAAAAAAAAAAAAAAAAAAAAAAAAAAAAAAAAATCAAAGTCAATTAGCTGGAGACCAATTAAGCGTCAGACCTACGGTGAATGATGACATGTTGGCAAAGTCGATAAACCAAATAGCAATTAATATTTTGCGAATTCATCTTCAGGGTTCATGAGGGAACATTTCATAGACAGATTCAAATGTCGAGTCGAACTCAAGTAGTCCGTCACGAGCAAAACCGTGTCTCGAAATGCCAGTGGTATAGCCTTGTCGCCCACACCTTCATTCTCGTCGAGTACATTCCAACTCCTTTAACATGTCAAATGGGACCAATTCAACAAAATCCTGGTTGAGCTTTAGGAATATAATTGCCTTACATAAACGTGAGGCGGAGCAGTTGGCACAGGAGTTACCGCATTTCCCACCTCTCGGCTTGTTGCCTCACTTTCATCAGGGGCTTCGATTTTGCTCATACCAGGGTAACGAGACAGAAAATTCACGTGTACATTTTCTTCCTTCCCTTAGTTTTTGGTCCAGCCACAGTTCTGGTTGGCACATGGAGATGGATTTGGAAGTTGTGGGGTGGTGGTAGTTAGCTTTTTGATATGAGCGCTTCAACATCGATAAAGCCGCCACAGCCTGATTTCAAACCTGGGGAATTCCATACTGCTGTAACTACTTGATGGCAGGGAAAGCATCATTTCGTGTAAAGTGTGGAAGATATCAATATGACGATCGGGTTGAAATCTCAATTCAGCAGGGATTTATCGTTGCATGGAAGCTTTTTGGTTGATCTGGATGCAGGCATTTCCAGAATAATAACCAAATGGACAAACCAGCATATTTCCAGTTAACAACTGTGGTTCCCCAAGACAGTGACACAGCTACATCGAAAAGGTGGGGGTGGAATCCACTGATAGGTGAACGGTATATCAAATTCTCGATATATTAAGGTATTCTTCGCCAGAACGTCTCTGATAAGTCTTGCTTCTGTATGGAATTATAACATTTTGTTATCATGAGTCCCCGAATCAGAGTAACCTCTTTTGGAAAAGGTCGATATCCGATCCGAACATGAACCTAGTCATGTTGATTTCTGCTCGTGGAAGCTCCCAGATACCCTGATTCTCATAGGACTTTAAGGCTGGGCATATTTTTCTGGCATCACGAATGGGTAACTTATAAATTAAGTTTCCAAAATACAAGTTGGGTTGGCGCAAACATTTTGACAGCCGTCTCAATGACGAGGTAAAGGCGGTGTAGGATGTTCGGAATCCCTGAATATGGAAAAGGGCGTCACATCGAAATCCCCGACCCAGTACCACCGTCTGACTGCATGCCAAACTGATCAAGCCAAGAGTGGAATGAGCATCGTGCAACATCGTGTTCGCGAAACAGAAAGTGTTGATTGCCTCTAAATACGAAGAAAGTCGACTCTTTATTAGATTAGCGGAGGAGTCATTGGTTTAGGATGGGGCGAGGGATAATTATCTTCCAACATTGACGATTATTTTCCGTTCCAAGAGGTATTTGATGTTAGGGGTTGAATTTGTTGTAGGCTTTTTAGGACCTTGTCGCCATATCACGTGTTTCTAAGCAGAAGCCTTTTGCCGGTCTATTGCAACTTCAACATCTCGACATTTGTCGCGAGAACACCATGAACTATTTTATTGGCTCAAAACTGTTGGGAACCCGGTCAGATCTGCGAATATGTCCTAATTAATATGTAGCACGAAATTGACAATACAGCATTCACAAGTGGGTACCCGCACAGCAGCTGCATCAATTCTAATTTGGTAGATCCACGGCTACGTCCTTAGCCAAGCCGGGATTGACAGATAGTTGTCAACGATGGGGACCCTGTTTTATAGCGATATACCTCTCTTCTCCAAGGTAACATTTCATTGGTTGTGCCGACTTGAGCCGGGACAGTTCTCACATCCCATCCTGCAGGCAACTCTTCTTACCCTTGAACATTCTTCAGTTTGCAGGTGTGGCTCTTCGACAAGCAAGATTTATGCATCTCTAGAAATTAATTACCTATCCTAACCAAGGTCTGAGTTCGCCTTGCACGAATACCATCAGTCTGGTGGCAGGCCTCTTCAGCTCAACGCAATTAAGTGGAGCGCTTTCAACGACCTCACCAATCCCAAGATCCTTCACTTATTGGAGTTTATTCTTCTTTGACCAGAGGCGAAACAAGACAGTTCCAAAAATTATGAAATCGGCCTATGGTGAAAAGCTCTCAGTTCTCCTCTACTGCAAGTTTAAAATACTGCAGAGGAAGTTGGGACTAACGATTGCCAATGAGATAGAGGGTTGGAAAGAGACACCATCTCATAACAGCGGATGAGAAAGCCAGTACAGATATCTCGATATGACATTAGAACACTTGCGAACTTCTCACATACCGACCTTGGAGCTCAGTTTCAGTTTAATTGTGCCAAATTAACAAATTCCCTGCGCATTTGTTTCCGCACTGGAAGATTCAGAGCTCATATCCTTATAATATCAATACGACCTACATACCGTACATTTATCTTTTATCAAAGAGTTAAGGTCTAAAAAAGTCTTTCTACATGTACGCACGTATCTAACAATGGTGATATGTTGTCAAAATCATCCAAACTAACATTTAATGCTTCCATTCACTTGTGGCAGTATGTTATCCTCTGCCAATATCTTCAAGAGCAGTGACTAAACAGAGATTTCTCGGTCTTCTGCGCTGGTCAACTATTCAAAAATATAACATGAGTTCTTTCAAATCATTCATTGTTAGGAGTGTGAGATTTCAGCAACTGCTTGATGAGCAGCTGACGAGAAATTTTGGTGGCAAATTGCCTATCAATGAAGAGATATCGCAGGACTGCTCTGATGTTTTGAGGGTGATGCCGGCGAAAAGTTCCTTCGCCGCCAGATTGTCCACCTAGCGTGGTTGAGAGGTTGGATTTGGGCACCAGCCTCTGGTCGCGGATGGCGATTATGTTGATGCAAACGGATCTGTCCCGCGGGATTCGTTAATGCTCCTATGATAAAAGTCACGCGATACATATATATATAATTAACTCTCAACCCCTTATTTCCATAGCTGATTGACAATTCGTTAAATCCCAATATATCCGGAAGGGTTTGAATATCCCTCGAAAGGGTATTGATTATGAACAGCATAATATTGCGATTCCACCGCTCTCTATATGCATTTCCCACAAAGTTGAGATTTCAAGGAATTACTTCAAAACGCCCACATCAAAATCCGTAGCCCTTTTGTCCCAAACTTCTCATTATGAAAGCTCTCAATGAATAACTGTACGAGGTTGAAATATCCTGTTATAAGTAAACCGCATGGTAAAAGCACCCAGTTGAAGAGAAGGGAAATATATCACCCATATCACCAGGATGTGAGGGTTCACCGGGGAGATGGGTTGGGGGACAAGGATTCTTTCACCAATTATCAAAATTGCCAAACCCACCACTCCCACTGACAGCCTTGAACTTCTTCCTCACATGCTCAGGCTCAGGCTCGTCATCAACAACATCTAGGATTTCATCCTCACCCGACTTTCTTTGATGAGCGGCAGCTGCCGTAGCAACTTTGAGATACTTCCCCACACCCGTATCGCCAGTTGATGTGGAAGAGCCGTTA